CCTGCAGCCCAATGGTATCAATGTGGATTTCACAAGCTTCAAAATCTCCCCTCCCCCGACCGCATCCCAAAACCAGCCCAGCTCGTCCCCGCCTCCCTAACCTGTTCTTCCTCCCACCTATCCCCTCCTCCCACCTCAAGCCACACCCCCATCTCCTACCTACTAACCTCATCCCGCCCCCTTGACCTGTCCGTCCTCCCTGGACTGACTTATCCCCTCCCTAACTCCCCACCTACACTCACCTTTACTGCCTCCATCCCCGCCTCTTCAACCTGTCTGTTTCCTCTCCACCTATCTTCTCCTCTATCCATCTTCTATCCACCTCCCCCTCTCTCCCTATTTATTTCAGAACCCCCTTCCCCTCCCCTATTTCTGCTGAAGGGTCTAGGCCCAAAACGTCAGCCTTCCTGCTCCTATGATGCTGCTTGGCCTGCTGTGTTCATCCAGCTCTGCACCTTGTTGTCTCTCTTTGTCTTTCCGTACCTGCTTTCTTTGTGCTGGCTGTTTGTCACACTGGATAAGAGAGAGAAAGTTTCGTTCCAAGCTGCTGCTGCTGCAGCTGCTGGACTTCACCTCGGCTCAGAATCGTGAACAGTGCCAGGAACAAACCTAAGCCTTCAGATCAGCCATCGATTGAGGGGTCCCCAAAGGGCAGAGGGTCATGAGACTTGTTGCCTTTTTTTCTTTTTCTCTTCCATTTATTATTACCACTATAGTCATTTATTATTACCATTATAACCATTATTCTTACTTAATAAACATTCATATTCAAGCAAATTGCTGTTGTCAAGCCATCTCTTAACTATATTTAACTGAATCTGAAAAGAACTGCCTGGATACACGCTGTGACCCAAGACACTTTTTGGCGATGAGGAACGGGATTTGGGAAAATATTTAAGAGAAGGGAAAGGTAACCTGATGCTTCAGAGACCTTCCGTATTCCAGGATGGAATGCGGCAGACTCTGGATTAATTTGTTAGCACAATTAGGGCTCCTGCAAGAATGGGGTGCGGTCATAACCAGAAAAAGAGAGAAATGAGGGGTATTCTTACAGGCTGCCGTACACGAATGCTTGCGGAAGACAGGCTTTCCCAGAAACAAGGACAGTGTACCACAAATGGGACGGATATTGTTAACAGCTTTGTGTTCTACATGTAGGGAATTGGAAGAGTGCCAGGCCAGAAACAGGCAGTTTGAGGCCACATTGACAGCAGTAAAACAGCATAACGTTATCCTAACAGAAGCAGTTAAGACAGCGCAGGAGAGAGCTGAGAAGGCAAAGGAGAAACAGAACCAGATAGTATGCCGTCTGGCGACAGTACAACAGGAAATGAGAGCAAAACGGCGCAATTGGAAAGTTGACCCACTCAAAGTGTGCGCATTATTAACCTTGCAATGGGACCCTGACCATTGGGATGTGGACATTTGGTATTCATCTGATTCAGGGTCTGAATGGATGGACGGGGAAGGGAATGCTCCACCTCTGGAGCCATCCTCAGAAGGGACTAATAGCACGACCCCAATAACAAATAAGGCAAAACAGGCAGGAGAACAAAACCCAGAAAATTCGAGAATAGTGAGAGATTACTCTATGTCCGAATTGCAGGATTTGGGGTCATGCTTTAAGCAGAAGTTGGGCAAACCCTTGGCCTCTTGGTTGACGCGGCCATTGTACCAAGGTGCCGCCCATATTATGCAGAGTGCCACAGAACGAGGGAATCTGGGAACACTAAGTGTTGATCCACATGTGAAAAGTGTCTTTAGAAACATAGGGCAAACTGGATCGTTGTGGAATGCACTGACACTAGCAGTAGGAAACAAGTACTCTTCCCCAGTAGATTGGGACGGTGATGTTGAAAAATGGGAGAGCACATCAGAAGGTATAAAACATTTGAGGGGTCCCTGACAGGCAGAAGAACATGAGACTGGTTGCTTTTTCTAGAAAGGTGCGAGACTTATTGCTTTTCACCCCCCCACTTTTCTTTTCCATTTATTATTGCCATTATAATTATTTATTATTACTTAATAAACATTCATATTTAAGCAAATTGCTGTTGTTGAGGCTTCGCTTAACTATATTTATCTGAATCTGAAAAGAAACACTTGAATGCAGACTGTGATCCAAGACACAGCTATAAATTGATAAAATGGAGGCTGCTCTCAAAGCTGAAGGTCAGAGAAATCAAAAGGAACTTGACAGCATGTACACAAACTTGGTTGAATGATAGCAAAGAAAGAGTAATGATAAATGGTTGTTTTTGAATTGGAAGGCATGGGATTCAGTTTTGGGATCATTGCATTGAGCTATATTAAAAATCTGGATTCTGGAATGCGAGTCACAATTTCAAAACTTGCAAAAGATACAAAACTTGAAAGTTTTGGGAACTGTGAGCAGAATGATGATAGACTTCAAGAAAACATATACAGGTTGGTGGAATGGGCAGAAATGTGGCAGATAGAATTTAGTATTGTGAATTATGAAGTTGAACTTTTGGGAGGAAGAATGAGGTGCAGATCCTTGTCTGGAGTGTAGATTTCTCCATTTCTGATGTCATTTCATATCTGCCACCATACCAACATGATGCCAACAAGTAAAGTCAATCTCACTGAATTATTGTCACAATCAGCAAAACAACAAGTAAAATACTTTTTTTTACTTGAAATGAAAATTTCAGACATAATTAACTAAATGAATTGGAGGCACATGAGATTAAAATCTAAACTGAATTAGCATAAAAAAACTTTTTAAAAGAAATTTAAAACTTTTTTTTATCATAATGGAGAAATTTGACATTGCTCAAATATAAAATTACTCCTTCAGGGCCAATGGGTTGTGCATTAGTAATTAGCAATTGAAATAATAAAAAAAAGTTACACCAGATTCAACAAGTATAACCGTTCCAGAGTTTCTTTTTAATGGTAAGACTAATAGTGTGGAAGGACAAGTTCTTGTCAGTTCAATGATTTCTACTTGATTGTAATTTTGGTGTAGGTGGAGACCTCAATGAATGGGGAACAATGAATCTTAAAGCAACTTACGATTGCTGCTTTTAAGTCTACAGATTCAGGCATCAGAAAATACTGTTGTTTCATGGGAGTAATAAGGTGAATTCTAAATATTACTACAAAATCCAACTGATAAAACTCAAAGCAATAGGATATCCTTAATTGGCCCAGTGTTTACGCTCCACATAATTCTCTACCCACCCCTTTTCATTCAACACTTTCAGCATTACCTTCTGTTTTTTACCTCTCACATATGTTTAACTCGCTTCTCCTCAAACACATCTGTACTATTCATATTATTAGTGGAATGTTGAGACTAACATACCTTGAGTGTCTTCCTGAGCTGGCTTATATTAACCTTCCTGATGTCTGCAGGGAAATGTCTTCTTCAAAGAACTTCATCAGCTAACAACTAATGTAGTGCTCCCATTACCAAAGGAACTCAAAAAACCTACATACCCTCACAAAACCAATACTCCCCAAGAGAACACACTCTACAACCTATAAACTGCCGATTGCCCACCTCTTGATGGTGGACCTCTTGGTTGTTTGCAACTTTCACCAAACGCAACCTGGTGACCAGTCCAACTGATGGGGTCCAGGTTATAACCTTTCACAGAAATTCTGGTCAGCTTCAAGCACATGTGGACCGGCCAGGGAAGGTACAGTCACTTGCACCACAAGTGCAATAGCTCAGGTTGTATTGTCATGGAAGTATCCTGCAACATACGTATAAAACAAATAACTGTGTGACATCTTAGGCTACCATCACTGATCCTCCAGCACCTCTGGACCCTTGTTTAAAAATCTATGGCTTAACTATACTGAATAATTAATGCGCTGGTAATGTTCATAGCTCAACTATTATAGTGACTATGCAGAAGCCAAGCTCTCTTGTTGGCTTTTGACATTGTGTTCATTGGGTTGAGTATTTTGCAGCACTTCCACTGGACAGTCGCTGAATTCAGCCAATGCTTTAATTTGTTTCCTATTCATTTTCTTCCCACTAACAAAATTACATTATACACTTTTGCTCCATAACAAAATTTCATTTCTACAAATTCCTTATTTCTTCTGCACAAGACTATGTGGTTAAAACACAAAGTCAAATCAGCAACAATACATGGATTTATCGCCCTTGTTGATAAGAGATACACATCTTGGAATCTGGTGACACTTTGTTTAAAAGACCTTTGGTTTACTGATGTTCCTAAAATATTTTATTTGTGCACTAAATCAAAATGTCAACAATATTACAAAATAACATAATTGCCGACTTTTCTCAAACATAAAAGAACTGAATGATTTTATTGGATCTGTTTAAGACAGTTACCCTTATTTTTGGATAGTTGTTGCAAAAATGCAGCTTCGCAAACACTAAAATTGTAGACTGCAGTTTGGTGAAAAACTGACAGATGTTTCAGCATATTTGGCACTGACATCTGAACAGCAATACTGATAAACAGAAGTAGCATTGGAGTGATATACTGGGACCTCTCCCAATCCGTAGCAGCTCACAACACTTTTGAGAAAAAATCTTTAGCAGTCTCATTTGGCAGTGATTTGCAGTCCACAATCTGACAAACTTGCTGCGTGAGCCCAACAGACTCACATACATATGGATGACATACATGGTTCAATCATCTGCTTACTGCTTTCAAACAAATTGACACCAGAACTTACCTTCACAATATTTTAATAGTCATAAACTCATTTCTTAAATAGGTATTTCAGTTTTTAGATTGAATTGGGCTATATCAATCTTGAGATTACATAAATATCCCATGCAACATTCAAAATACAAGGTGCTATTATTAGTTTATTTAAAATAGCAATTCAAGCATGAAAACTGCAAAAACCCTGTACAACTGAACAAGACATGCTCAATTTTCTGTTCACATAACTTTTATATTGTCATCACTGCTAAGAATTTGTCTATAAGAGACCAGTGATAATTGGCTCAATATAGGATCTTTGATCCCTAATTAGTATTCAAAGGCAGAACTGATTGGGAAATGGCTTGCTGCACTAAAGGAAAGAAGCAATTCAGAAGTGTAAAAGCCGTTCTGGAAGAAAAGCTCAATATGGATAGGAATGATTATATTTAGCACAGATATCAGTATCAGTAACCCACAGAGTAGGAGGCAAGTCTGTGAAGAAAACGTTCAGCAATTAGATGCAATTTCATCAGTACTTTATAGGCTCAAAGGACAGAGACTCTACTTAGCTCTGGTCAGCTCCCAATTGGACACAAGAAGGAAACTGAAATGCATCCATACTAGCTTCTGGTGTGCACCTGCTTGGAGCCAATAAAAAAAAAACTAATAATACAGCAGTGATATGAGATGGCATAAAAGAGGCAGTGACCAAAAAGGGAAATTTGAGAATTTCTGCACAGCACTGGCTGATAGATTTCCTTACTAACCTAAGTGAAAAGCACAAGATACATAATTAGAGGATGGAGTCTCCCATGGAATCAATGAATAAGCCTTACAGGTGAGTTGATGGGAGAAGACACTGATCCTGGACACACATATAATACTGTAAACTGAATGAGCTAGACTAATATGTTGCCTTTTTTGCAGATGCTTACAACAAGTTCCTGCAACCCTACAATCTTATTCAAGCCATATAGCCACTAATAGGCTATGATGATAATATGCCTGCTATGTCTTCTTAGGTTATGAGGTTAATACTACAAGATTTACAGGTGGTCTTTTGTGTGCTCATCCAATATCTCATCTGCTCATCTCTTTAGAAATTGGTAATCAGCAACTGAATTTTTGTCTATCCCAAAAGACATGGACATTTTTGACTATTGTCTCAGTTCCAGTTACACTACAGCATGAGACAGCATCATTATTAAACATGCTATTTCACCTCTCTCCTTCTGAACACCTTCAAAGAACACCAACTAACCATCATAATCACATTTTAATAAGCCAACAAACACAAGATCACATGGATGAATTCTTTATTTGGGCACTAGGACTTGATGGCTGACACAAAATAATACAGTCAAAGATGTGGTGACGGTGAATGTTCTCTCTCTTACCACTTATCTGGTAGTGGTCCATATGCAAAAACCTAGCAGGAAGTTGTCAGAATTGGTCTGTGACCTTCAAAGGTACACCATTGATCATAACTATGGTGAATGTGATGAAACATATGACATGGCTGGACCACGACTTCAGTCTTTCTAAAATTTGTTGTACGTTCAATGCTTTTGCTTGGCTTTAAATGTTTTCAGTATTCCTAAGAAGATGGTCAAACATTATGCAAATTCTCAACGGTCCCTTTGTTGCAAAACAACAGACTGCCAGTACATATGTAAGATTGATTTGTCTTTCCACTTGACATTTCTAAAATCCAATTTACAACAAGCAAACGTTGGGTTAAAAAGCAGCTAATTCAAACAATATCCTGAAACAGATCTACAAGCATGAGCTTAAAAGAATCTCCCCTTCACCCATTTAATAAAAATTAGGAACATGAAACTAATGCCACAAAAACTCAGAGTCTCACTTACCATCTAGTTCACACCATCCTATAGTGAGCGTGAAATTTTTTTTACTTTGCATGTGAATTTAGCTTTCTTGCAGTTCATTTGCAGAAACCTTTTCTGTGGTCTTTATTATTTCACACAGATTGACCTCAACTTAGAAATAAACATAAATAATTTTAACAGTGGAAAATCATGGAAAACTGGACTCTTGTTTTTATCATCACACTGAGTTCCGTGAATCTAAAATCTTACAAGTTTATTTAAAACTAAAAGCACCAGAAAGACTGAATTGGTACAGTGGGAATACTAATAAAAAGAACAGAGAGACAGGTTTTCCATTTCAATTATGCCATAAATCTGTATATCCTAGGGGGACATGATTGGAAAATCAGCCAGGGAGCTGTTCTGCCAGCTCCCTGGTACCCTCTGGAATTTTAAATCAGTAGACACATTGACACAGTAGACACATAAATATGTCTACTCAAATAATGGTTGACACTATACAACATACCTTAATAATACTGGGTGCCAGGAACACCAGTGCTTTCCTGGGGACCAGAGTCTCAAAGTGATCAGTTGTATTAATTGATGCAAAATCAGCTGGCATTATGGACCATGCCATGCTGTAAAACAAAGCAGGAATTTCTCTCCCCCCACAATCCAAAATGCACCCAAAATCAGAGACAAATACCCCAGCAGCAGACAAGAAATTGGTTGATGCCAGTGATATTGGAAATAGGTCGTGCCTCACAAAAGATCTGTGTAATCTCCAAGTGTTCCTGGTCAAAAAATTAAATGAGAAGAGCATGTATTGGTTAAGCAACAGAGGAAGGGTCTAATGAAAAGTGATCTAGTTGATACCTGAAGGTAGAAATACTTCGGGGAAAATAAATGGGTAGCTTATTGCCTATGGAAA